GGGTTGGTTGGATCGGCAACGCGGGACCTCTATATCGGTCCTTATTTTACTATCTCACAATATAAGATTATAAATTTTATTATAAAAATAATTTTTTAATAAAGGGTGCATAATTTGCGTAATCTACCAAGTGTTGCATGCATAATTTAATGTTTGTTGCCTGCCACATGAATTTGGGTCTCTATACAGTCAAACCTTGTTTTAACAAATCCATGGTACAGACCACCAAAATTCTGTAGAGAAGATGGATGCCAAAAAAAATAAGCATTTTATCCAATTTCAAATAAAATGATAATACATAAAGTCTCAAAAAGATAGCACCTACTTTAAAAAGCATTTGTTACACAGTTGTAAAACAGGGTCTGAGACTTTACAGTAACATGAACAATAAATCATTCCAAAAAAATATGTATAAATAAAGATGAATTTTTCTTTTATCAAATTCTTACAATCCTACACAATTAAAAATTTTCTCCCAACAACAATCATCATCATCATCCATTAAAAAATGTGTATATATCACTGCTGAGCAAAAATCCAGGTTATCTTTATTAAAACAAACTAAACCCCAACCAAAAAAAGCACAAAAAATATGGAATTGTACAGGTCAAGTTAGTGACACATTGAAAGAGCCTGATAAATGGCTTAAAATTGAACCAAATTCATATCAAGCAAAATTAAAAAATCTCATTCTTTTTCCTGTTGTGAATGTTGTAACTATAATTTAAAAAAAAAGGCCAAAACAAAAATTCATTGAAACAAAGTTTGTTGAAACAAAGGTTTGACTGTACATAGATATTTAATGGTGGAGGTTATTTAGTTAACAATTTTAAATTTTCCAATGATGACATTTTGCTGAATTTAAAAATTTTAATTTCCATCTATATGTAATTTTCAATAATATTGCAAGTGTGCAATTTCAAACACAGATTGTGATATGGCCAATAAATATAAGATAAAATAAATATGAAAGTCCAATAATATATAAATTTCACTATCTCTGCACACAGCTAAGGGTTCTCAATTCCCACTCACCAATAGGAGCTTTTCCAAAATACTCTACTGCTCATCCTAGGAGCTATCAAATCCCGCTCACAAATAGGAACTTTCTGGAATAATTCTATTTGCACAATTCTTACCCTACAGTACTAATGCTAAGTACTGCTGGCACAGCCTAAGATAATAAAATAAAAAAAATATATACAAGAAATATTTACAACTATACCACTTGAGGTGCCCCTATAAGCAACATATAACAATCAAACCGGGGGTTCCTAACTGATGATTAGTGGCCAGACTACTAATCATCAGAGAGGACCATGGAACAATTCACAATGGCTTTTCCTGTTAACTATGCAAAAATTTGTAATAAGGTAAAATGTGTTTATTAAATTATTAACAATGGGGGGGAGAAAACGAAAAAAAAAATAAAAAAATAAAAAAATAAAATAAATAATTATTTATTCAATTATTTAAATGTTATTAATATGATCCACTTTTTTTTCACTTGGTCTAAAACCAAGCCTTTTTATACCTCTTGAGGTATTACAAATAACATGACTTAAATTCTATTTTATCCAATAAAATATGCTTATTAATCCTATTTTCTGTATTACTAGCTTACTAATTGCTAATTACTAATTCTCTGACTCATAATTACTAATCCTATGAGTCATTATTACAAATAATCTGATTAATAATTCGAAATAAATAATTCTGTCATAAAATAAGTTAAAAATAGAAATGATGTAATGATCTACATGTAATATTTAGTGCATCACATGACTTCCGTAGTAAGTTCGTTCTAATTGGTCAATTGGTTGGTCCACGGTTTACAATCTCACAATACATTATTTGTAATATAATTAATATAATTAATACATTATTTTGTAATATAATTAACTGACATCATAATTTATTTATAAATAAGAAAATATACAGTTTGTTATAAGGTGTGTTTACTAAGATGTTTGTTATAGAGAGAGAAATTAATTAAAAGGGAAGTTCATTATAGAGATTTTACTTAGTGTTTGTTATAGAGAGAATGAACTGTAGCTTTATTTTTATTTTTTTGTTTGCTAAAGGATGTCATAGAAGAAAAGGACAATGTTGTATTAAATATTTAATATTAATTATCATCATTCTTTTACAAATAAAATAAAAATGATTTTTTCTATATATTACTGTATATAATAATAATTTTTAATGATTCGCAGTCAAAAAATTATCTACTGTATCATAGTAAATTTCGTGTTACATACACTCTACCCTTAACTTGTATATAGCTTGATTATTTATGGTCTCAGGGTTGTTGAAGCTAAATCAAAAGGATGGAATTATTTATATTATTTATTAAAAGCTTGATCGTTTTAGAATTATTTTATTATAATTTATTTTAATGTGTGGCACAAGAAAATGATCATCACTGTAAAAAATTTATCCTTTCAGTTGTTATGAAAAATCACATGACTACACTCTACCCTTAAGCGATTATCCAAGGGACCTACATGCATATTTTCTTATAGAGTAAATTGGAGAGTCCAAGGCTGAAGATACTGCCTTCAAAAGCCTATTCCAGGTATAGTCACAATTTTCTCTTGTACTTTTTAGCTGCACCCAATACCGTAAAGTCTGGAAAGATAGCACCCCCTACTTTAAAACAATTGAGCGTCAATATAAAAAAAATGTTACACATATGTAAAAAGGGGATGCTATCTTTCCAGACTTTACGGTACATTTCAATAAAATTTAATTGGGAATTTTTTTGTGTGATTCAATTGATCAACCATGTGATCACATGAAGTGATGAAACGGTCACGTGATATGCAAATTTTATTGCTTTTTTTTAAATATAAATACTCATTTTAAAATCTGGTGGGTTTTCTCAAATTTGTTGCTATGGCATAGCAATTTGCAGGGACTAAGTGTCTTGCACTATATTTTTTTGCATTAACACTACTGATTTTAACTAATTGACAGTTCATGTGTAAAGAAGTGCATCAGCTGGAAAGAGGGAAGCAAAAACTCAAATATAAAAAGATTAATCCAAACTTTATTTCTGATCACTAGATCCTAAAAAAAATTACTAGAATAAAATTTTAAAATATCCTGCAATTAACTCTAATACTAAATTCAAATGATAAAAATAAATTAAGCCATAAATATATTTGACAATGTATTAAAGTAATTCAAAAGCATTTAAAATTTTTGTGAAAAAATCAGTTTTCATTATGGTGTTCTGACTTCATTTAAATTAGGAGAATTGCATTCAGAGTTTTCTTCTTTTTCCTCTCATGTTTGTGGAATTTAAAACTTTGAACACTTCTTCAATTTCAGACAACTTCACCTGTAAAACTTGTTAAATTAGTTGCATATTCATATATCATTAATCAAATAATGACATAATAATAAGTACTTACTTCCAATTCTCTCAAGACACAATATAATTCTTCAAATAATAAACAATCATTATCTGATGAAGGTATCATTGTTTTATCCAATATTCCAAACAGATATATCCCATTTTCATACCATTGCATAGTGTGAGCATGCAAAATACAGCTTGTGATGTGTCCAATAAATATATAAGATAAAATAAATAAAAAGTCCAATATATAAATCTCCTTGTATCAGCACACAGCTCAGGGTTCTCAATTCTCTATCTCAGGCCTCTGTATTGGCACACAGCTCAGAGCCTACTCAAAACTCTATTGCGCAATTCTCTCTCTCTCTACAGTACTAATACTAAGTACTGCTGGCAAAAGCCTAAAATAAATAAATAAAATAAAAAGAACATATACAAGAAATATTTACAACTATACCACTTGAGGCATCCCTACAAGCAGCATAGAACAATCAAACAGGGAAGGGGTTAACCAATAATTAGTGGCCAGCTACTAATCATCAGAGAGGACCATGGAACAATTCACAATGGCTTTTCCTATTAACTATGCAAAAATTCGTAATAAGGTAAAATGTGTTTGTTTAATTATTAACAACAGGGGGGGGTATTTATTCAATTGTTATAGATTATTATTAGTGTTATTAACATGATCTACTTTTTTTCACTTGGTCTAAAACCAAGCCTTTTTATACCTCTTGAGGTATTACAAATAACATGACTTCTACTCTATTTTGTCCAATAAAATATGCTTATTAATCCTATTTTCTATATTACTAGCTTACTAATTGCTAATTACTAATCCTCTGACTCATAATTACTAATAATATGAGTCATTAATACAAATAATTTGATTAATAATTCGAAGTAAATAATTATGTCATAAAATAGAAATGATGCAATGATCTATATGTGTAATGTGGTGTGCAACCGTCGCAATAAATATAGAAAGATGATCATTAATCGTGATGTAATATTTAGCACATCACATGACTTCAGTAGTAAGTTCGTCAATATTAATGGTCAATTGGTTGGTCCACGGTTTACAATCTCACAATAACATAAATATTGATTTCAAATCCTATATTAAAGAAAAATTATCATTAGATAATAGATTTGCATATTAATATAAGGTGCTAACAAAATAAACATACCATACTGTGTCCAGCCATATATAATCAATCTTCTTCATTCATCATCATTTATTCTTCAACATTGAATTTAATGAATCTCTCATAATAATAGAAAACTTTACTTTATCTAGGAACCTTTTTTTTTCATGATGCAGCTGGCAGTCCAGATGAATCAAACCTTCACCAAAAAGAATTTCAGCTTTGATTGAACCTCTGATTAATGTTCCAAGCATATTTACCTTGCATCCAATTCTTGACTTCTTGAATGGGTCACTATTCTCATTACATGCATCAGATGTTGATTTTGTAACTATTTCACCCCATCTGTCCCTAATAAAATGATTTCCAATTACACCTGGAAACAAGCATAGTGGACACTGTTGCAGATCGAATGTGACGAATGTGACATTCATAATTCATGCAGTGTAACAATTAATTTCAATTGTTTTAAAATAGAAAAAAGGCGTATATGTGAAAAAAAAAACTGGTGTATATAGCAAATATATTTTTTTTTGAATGGAAATATTTGTTATTTTTGTCTTTACTGTTTGGTTAACCAAGATCATTCAGATCATCGCTAGATCAAAAAGTTAGATATGAACTAAAGTTGGAGTAAAGTCTACACATATGCACACAATTTATTTGAATTTAAATATTTTTTCTTATTTTGAAATTTACCAATCTTTAATTAAATCAAAAGCATTTTTAAAGTCTAAAGCTATTATGTGTTCTTCAGTTATATCTTCCTCCACCTCTTCATCTTCATCTCCTGTTATGCAGGATTCTTCAATGACTCATTCAAATTTTCATTTCATAACAATATTTGTGGAATGCATGACCACATATTAAGATTATTGATCTTGATCATAATTATTTTCAAAATTAGAATAACAATAATCACATTTATTATAAGATGGTGGTTGCTGGGTATGATATCCTGTTGGAATACATTTTGATTTGACTTCTTTATTTAATGTTTTTAAGTAATATTCTTTGTTGCTAATTTTTTTACTTCCTTCCACATTTAGATAAATTTTATGAAAATAATCAATTAAGAACAAACTTGTTTTATATTTAAGAAAATTAAATGTGAATTCTTTGTAAGAGCATTTTTTCAATTTTTTAAATGTATTGATAAATGATTGATCCTGAGCATCCAATACTAATGCTTGTAAAGTTATTGCTTCAGCTGAATATTGTGGACTGGTATTGGCCCTAATTTTACTATTCCAATTTTCAACATAATAGTCATTGAAATTAACAAGTTGAGATTGAATTGCTTCAAGAAATGGATGGTTGTTGTCTTTCTGGTAGAAATAATTGGAAAGAAAGGCAAGTGGTATTTTATTATAATTTTTCTGTTTCCACCTTAAAGCAAAGCTCCATAATCTAAAAATTGTATCTACATATTCTTCAAAAGAACCTGATTGAAAAATAATAGCATAAATGTCCAATGCAGCTGGAATCAAATTATCCATCATTGTTTGATATTCCAAATCTTTACACACTCCACCAAATTTTTTATATATTTCTGAAGAGATTTCAATCCAGACAGACCTAAGAAGTTCAAGGAGTTGATTTATTCTCCAGGGCTTGGGTTTTGCAGCCAATACTTTATTAATTCCAAAGACTGATTTATACATTATTTCAAAGTCCCAATGCACAACCACTATATGTCCCTTTACAATTACTATATCCATAGTTTCCGTTGTTGCTGTTCATTCAATTATCTCTTCTGATCAAATTATTTCTTTTTCCTTTTTGGCTTCTAGATTTCCGATTATTTGGGGAGTTTCTTTGATCATAATAACATCTTTGATAATAATCTTCTGGTGATTTATTGGCTTCTCTCCATTCTTCTTTTCATTAGTCCCCTGATGAGGTTTCTCTTGCTCTTTTGGAGGTTTATCCTAACCTTTTCAGTTATAGTTTCTTTCTGATTAATTACTTTCTTTTCTTTATTGATTTCTCTTCCAATTATTTCATTTTTCAGATTTCTAATTTCTTGGATTAGTTTTTCCTGTTGATTGTTTAGTTATATTATTTGTTGAAATACATTTATCGGAAAGTCGGAAATAGTTTATTGCAATCTGTGGTTTTTTATTGCTTTACAATATAATAAAGGAAGATGTTAAATAGTAAAAAAAAATTAAATTGGAATCATACAAATAAAAGTTCACATATTGGGAAATTTTTTCAATTCTAAATTAATATGATCAAAATACACTTCATACTAGTGGTTGTATCTGCCGAATGATTCACCGATTATCCGGTTAATCGGGGAGCTGAAAATTTTTCATTGATTATTAATTAATCGGTGTTGAAAATTTTCACTGGATAATTGGTTGGTACAGAAATATAAAAAATAAAAAATTTTTTATCCACGTAATTGAAAGAATTACTAATATATTAACATGTAAATACTATTTTATGCACTATTACACCATCACCAACATTCTTTCCATTATAATAACATATCAATTAATACGAATACCAACTGTGTCATTATTATTTAAAGAATATTTATGTAACTTCTACTCCAAATGAGCGTCTACAGCTAAACCTTGTCACAGCGGACTATAATTATAACGGATTTTTAAAAATTTTGCTTCACATTCACATTAAAATATAAAAACATAAAAATCCATTGTGGCAAGATCAGTAAATCTTGCCACAACGGGTTTTAAATAAATCTTCATTCATCCGCTGTGACAAGGTTTGACTGTATTTAGTGAAGCTGGAAACACAATGACAGCCGAACGAATAAATCGAATCCGTTGTTATTTGTATTTCTTAAAAAAAAAAAATGCAATGTATTGAAAATATTTTTCCTGAGGAATAAATAATTATTATAAATCAACGAATATTCAATAGATATTTGGCGGATATTTGGCGGATATTTGGTGAATGACCAATTATCCGAGTGTTGAGTTTTATTGACTGACCGATTATCCGGGTGTTGAGCTTTATTGATTGACCAAGTACTCAAACATCCGGACAATCAACGGATACAACCACTACTTCATACTTCAAGGTCACTTAATAGTTTGGATTTTTGAAAGAAAATGACCTATTTATAAAATTATACACACTTTGGCTCTATATTCCCTCAAGGAAAGCATCAGTTTCTCATTCAAATTACAATATGACGTAGCTCGATAAAGTGAATTTTTGCTATAATGGAGCTTTTTTAGTTTACATTTATAATAAAATCAACCAATAACTTGATAAGACGAATACTATCGGTTTATCGAAGAAACTTTGTATATAAATGATTTACATTAAAAGAAATGTGTTCTAAAAACAATTGAAACCTATGCTAACGAATAAAAAAAGACTTTGCTACTTGTTTTAAAATTCGTTAGAAGTAACATTTTATTATATAAAAGTTAACGAATATATAAATTTTGATGTATAACCTTTTAAACCAAATTTTTTAAAAACAACTTCATTTTTATCAAGGACTACTTAATAAAGTGAATTTTCGAGCCTAAAACAAGTACATCGGTTTAACGAGTTCCGGCTATGTGTCCCACTGCTCTATTTCCTGATCAGAAACACGGAAGAACATAAAGCCAGTCAAATTCCCCATTCAGAACTTTGATATTAAATGAACCAACTTCATTATACTTACTGGACCAACAAATTGTTTGAAGAAAGAGCAAACTTAGGCGGTTTTCCCATATATCCATCTTATTTTTTAAAAATTCAAGATTAAATAAATGCATACTGTATTTGCCCTTTCATCAAGAGCATCACATCACCACAAATAATTCTATTAATAATTGCTGTCAATAGATAAATTTTTTTGTGATCATATATATATATAAAGATCTGATGAATCTTTTAATTAGATTCAATTTATAACATAAAAAAATAATTACATAAATTAAAATTTTGTTTATATAATAAATACAAGAAATTTATAGTTTAAAATCTATTGTCATATCCCATCCAATTTTAGGTCCATATTTTGGCAAAGCTTCTGCTACTGAACTTACATCTTTATCTCCACGACCACTAACACATAACAAAATATCTTGATCTTTTCGCATTTTTGATGCAAGTTCTAATGCATAATAGATGGCATGACTTGTTTCAAGAGCTATATAAAAAGTATAAATATTATTGTTATTATTGTTATTATTACTATTAATTATCATGATCCTTTAATTATTACCTGGAATAATGCCTTCAAGCTCTGACATTTTTTTGAATCCTATTAAAGCTTCTGTATCAGTAACTGCTACATATTGAGCTCGACCTGTATCTTTTAGCCATGAATGTTCAGGTCCTACACCTGGATAATCCAATCCTGCACTAATACTATGTGTTGCTTTAATTTGTCCATTTTCATCTTGTAACAAATATGTACGTGTTCCATGTAATACACCTGGTGTTCCAACAGTTAAAGTAGCCGAGTGAAATTCCGTATCAATTCCTTTGTTTTTTTTTTATTTTATAAAATATTGATGCTATTATTATTCTGTGAATTTCAAAAAAGATTCATTTAAAATCACATAATTAATTAATGCACTTACCATCACCGCCAGCTTCAACTCCAATAAGTTTTACACTTTTATCTTCAATAAATGGATAGAATAATCCTATAGAATTGCTGCCACCACCTACACATGCTAAAATAGCATCAGGTAATTTACCAGCTTTTTGCAACATTTGTTGTTTGGCTTCTTTTCCAATTATTGATTGAAATTCTCGTACAATAGTTGGGAAAGGATGGGGACCAATTGCTGATCCCACAAGGTAATGAGTATTATGAACATTCGTAACCCAATCCCTCATAGCTTCATTAATAGCATCTTTTAAAGTTTTACTACCTAATAAATACAAATATTTTTTATTTTATTTTTAGGAAAGATTAATTATGATTATTATAAAAATTAAGATTAAAAGCCATCCATGTAACAACACATACCAGAATCTACAGGTATAACTTTGGCACCTAATAATCTCATTCTAAATACATTTAGAGCCTGTCTTCTAACATCTTCACTGCCCATATAAATAACACATTCTAATCCAAATTTTGCACAAACAGTTGCTGTAGCTACTCCATGTTGACCTGCACCAGTTTCTGCAATGATTCTTTTTTTACCAATATGTTTTGCCAAAAGTGCCTGTCCAATTGCATTATTAATTTTATGTGATCCTGTATGATTTAGATCTTCTCTTTTCAGCCAAATCCTTGCTCCACCAACATGTTCAGTTAATCGATCTGCACAATGAAGTTTGGATTCACGTCCCATATAATCATAATAAGATTCAAATTCTTTCTGAAATCCTGGATCATCTTTTGCCTCTTTGAATGCCTAGTTTTTTTGATATATCAAATAAATAATTAATTATAGGATCATCATCACCATCATCATTATCACAACAATCACCTTTTCTAATTCCATTAAGCAATCAACTAATGATTCTGGTACATATTGTCCTCCAAATTCTCCAAAACGAGCACTTAATGTATGTATAGGTTCTTTCTATGTTTAAAATTTTATTTTTACATACTTGCATACAATTTTATAACAGATTGTCTTATCAATTGATTTAACTTACATTTATATTTTCTGTTTCTTTAGATTTTAAATCTTTTTGTTCTTCAGTATCATTTATAATATCATCAAAATTCTCAATTGCTAGAATTTAATGATTGATGTATTAGGATAAATTTTAAAAAAAGAAGTTCTATCAATTACATTAAATACATATATCATTCCCATACCTTTTTCATTATTTTGTGCATTGCTACTAATTTCAGATGCAAATGCTTTTACAGCTTCAGCTCTTTTATTTTTTTCTAAGTATTAAAAAAAGACAGTTATATATATATATACATACATTTTATATATGTAATATAGTTGTTTGCCATAATTGCCCTTCTTAATAAATGATCATTTCCATATCAGTAATGCCATAATTAGTTTTCATAGTTGTCATAATTATCTCTGTAATTATTTAACTCTTTAAGTCAAATAGCATATTAATATATAGTCATTCATATAAAGAATATTGAGGATCCATAATTATTGTCATAATCCAAAACAATTATGGCAAACAACTATAATATGTAATGGTTTATTTATTTGTTTATCTATTTACATACCAGCATTTTTCAATACATTCACTATTTTACTTCCAATTACTACACCATCTGCATGTGATCCAACGAGTTTAAAATGATCTCTAGTGCTGACACCAAACCCAACGGCAAGGGGTAAATCTGTATACTTTCGTACACGATTTACCAAGTCTGGTAATTGTGCATTAATTGTTTTACCAGTTCCTGTTATCCCCATTTTTGAAACAATATAAAGGAATGAATCTGCAACATTTGATAAATATTTAATTCTTGCATCAGTTGTAGAGGGTGCTATAAGAGGAATATAACTTAAACTAACCATAAAAATAAAACAATAAGCTTATTAATAAAAAAATTTTTTTTTTAAAAATAGCATATGTATTATTTAGAAATTACCCATATTGTAAACAAAAACCTCTAAAATTATCAGATTCTTCTGGTGGTAGGTCAACTACAATAAACCCATTGACACCAACATCTTTACAATCTTTAACCAGTTTTTGTTCTCCATAAATTAATATTGGATTATAATATCCCATAAAAATTATTGGAGCTTTAAGGCCATGAGAACGTGCAGAAGAGACAAAAGATAAACATTTTGTAATGTCTATATTATTTTGAAGAGCAACCTAGATACATAAATACAATTATTAATTGATTATAATAATTTTAAAGTATTTGTATAAATAACTATATAATTATACTTGATCAATAATTTACATTATTTGATTCTTGAATTGTTGGACCATCAGCTAATGGATCAGTAAAAGGCATTCCTATACAAATATATGTTTTGAGATATTTTTATTATTGAAAAACCTCATTAATACAATATATATAGATATATATCTATTCTATCATACCCAGCTCAATTATGTCTGCACCACCAGATTCCAATCCAAGTAATATGTCAACAGTTTCTTCAGGGTCAGGATACCCTGCAGTAACAAAAGCAATGAAAACTGGTTTTTCTGTAAATATTATAACATTTTATATACATATAAAATAAAATTATGATTAATTTTTTAAAAATAAAAAGATATTAAATTAATTAATTTTTTTTTTTTTACTTTGTTCATGACAATTTTTAAAAACTTGACTTATTGAAGTTGCCATGTTTTTTAAAAATAGATTTTTTTTATCAATATATAAATAATAATAAATAATGATCTATCCAAAAAAGGAAATATTTAATTTTAAAAAATTGGAGTTTTGTATTCAATAATTAAATCATCAAATACAAATGATCCAATAATATATTGATCATACAAAAAAATTCAATAACTATGACAATAGAATATGACAAAAGCAATGAAATTAATTAATAATATTATTAAATTTATTATATGGGGCATACTGCAACAAAACCAGACAAAGTGAACATTGGTATTACCAATGATTTCAGGGATCAATAAACAAAAAAAAATTTTTTATATTCTATATTTAAATATATTAAAGTACATCATCATTAAAATCTATGTCTCAAATTACCATCTATTCTTTAGAACCAGGCATGGGATTGGATAAATTAAAGAAAGATGATATTAAAAAAATGTTGGATTAAAGAGACCTAAATTATGATGAAAAAAATAATTGATCAGATTTAGTTGTACTTTTAAGAGCAAACATTGGATTTGAAACAGATAATAAAATAGAAGGTAATAAAATTATTTTTCTAAACACCTAAAAACTTGGCTAATTATATGTTTTTATTATATAGAATCAAAGAAAAGAATGAACTTAGATGAAATAATGGATGATAAAGATTATATAGATAATTTACAATCAAGAAAAAAAAAAAAAGGACTTATCAATTATAGAAGAACAATTTGATAATGCTGAAAAACATATAATAACAAGGTATTTGGGAAAATTTTTGTGTTGAAACCCTAATGATTTATTTATGTGTCCATTTATTTATATAAAAATTACTTCCCACTTGGCTGGGCTTTGAAAGAAAACCAGGAATTTGGAAAGAAAGGTGGCAGAAAACATATGTCTGATAAAGTAGTTGAGTTATTAAAAACCTTTTTTCATACAGGCAATGCATGTAAAAGTGAATGATATATGCCTAAAGAAATGCTTGAAGAACTGAAAAAAAACATGGAAATAGATGGGTTGGAAGTAATTGACATGCCAAAATTAAGTACAATTGAAAATTGAATTAGTAGGTATTCCAGACAGCACAAGACAGTGTGAGATAGTAAATCTTGGACCTATCAATTACCTGGTTAATATTGACCAATTAGAACGAATTTACTACAGAAGTAATGTGATGTGCTAAATATTATATTATTGTAACAACTATGCCACACATTGCACGGTGTCATAGGAAAGACTATTCCTATTCATATTTCTATATTTATATTTATTAACCTACTCATCTGATGTAAATATTTATTTAGAATTAGTATGGTGCAGGTCATCTATACTCATCAAAAATGTAGATCATTCCGAAATTTCAGATAACTATCAATGAATTTTTATT